ATTTGATGTATCGATATTTTTTATACATCCCTATGATGGTGAATACCATCATCATGACATCATGTGCTCAACCGTCAATTTGCATCAGCGATAAATTTACAATAGGTCGTTTCTGCAGAAATCACAAACCAGTCAGAATGAATTTCATTGGTTGAAACTAATTTTCTGACTGTTTTCAACCAATGAAATTCGCTCTGACTGGTTTGTGATTTGTGCAGAAACAGACCTATTACAATCTCTGATTACAATCTGCTGAAAGTTGTACAGGGTGAGTCACTATATTTTGACACCCATAAGTAAAAGGTGTAAATACAAAAAAAAACAATTTTTATATTCAACAAATGAGCAACACAAAGTAAAAAAAATTGTCAATGTTCACTTTTTTTAAATGCAATGCCCTTTATAATTTTCTTCCAAATTCTTGAAGTTCTCGTTTTTCTGATTCAGATTAATATGTTAATGTTTCTTTTAATAGTTTTGGAAATATCTGGAATTTAGTTATTCAAAGACCTATTCACGTATCAGAATGTTTTGTGACAGGTGACCGGTAAATCAAGGTGAAATATATTCAAAAAAACTACTGTTTTTGAATAACTAAACTCTAGATATTTCCAAAACTATCAAAAGAAACATTAACATAATCTGAATCAGCAAAACGAGAACTTCAAGAATTTGAAAGAAAATAAAGGGCGTCCAAATAAAAAAAGTGAACATTGATTGTTTTTTTATTTTGCATTGCTCATTTGTTCAATCTAATTAAAAATTCTATCGGTTCAGATAAAATTCTACAAATTTTGTATTTACACCTTCCTTTTACCTATTACCCGTAATTACGACAGTAGTTGGATGTCAAAAATATGGTGGCTCACCCTGTACCACCCTCACCATGAAAATTGTCAATAGTACAGTGGCTAAATAAACCTTTACATACAGTGGCGACAATAGAGGTCCCGCCGCCATTTTGTTCCCAACTTCTTGTTACTTTTAAATATTAATATATAGGATTTAAATGGACATCTATCATGAAATATTGAAATCGACGTATTTGATGACTATTATTAGGTCCATCAAATACGTTGCTTTCCATGTTTTATGAGGGATGTTCACCTAAATCCCATATATTCAGATTTGAAATAAGCAATGGGTCGGAACAAGATGGCGGCGTTTGCAATATAAATATATGGGATTTTAGAACCAATCAAAAATAAGACAGCAATTGTCGCCACTGTGGGTAATAGAGTCACTGTAGTAATAGGTATAAAGCCTTTCTCACTTGCGCGCATAGAAAAGTGATTTATATTCTTGATATAGAACCACAGTTTATAAAGCTCTAGCGAAATGAAGCTTAATGCCTCATTCTCACTTGCACGAAATTCGCTCTTTTTTTGACATTGCTGCAACAATTTGACGTTTGAAACCAGGGACACATCTATCTTGCATTCTTCCGATCCGACTCCGATCATGCAATCAGGAGGGTCCTAAGGGTGGATTTTCATGCATCCGTTTGTCCGACGAAATATGTCCGAAAAATCTTCTATTTTGACATATTTTTATACGATTATGTCAGAATAGAATGTTTTTCGGAACAGGGAGGGTTCCGTCTTTCTCAACGATATGCATCTCATAATATGTATGATCGGAGTCGGATCGGAGGAATGCATGATAGATGTGTCCCAGCCTTTAAGCCAGGGACACATCTATGATGCATTCTTCCGATCATACAATCAAGGTCCTTATTCTTGGAACAGGGGAGCAGCGGAACACTCGTTCTCCTTGGGAACGCTGTTCCCTGTTCCAAGAATAAGGACCCTGATTGTATGATCGCAGTCGGATCGGAAGAATGCATGATAGATGTGTCCCGGGCTTTATGCGTGTATCAAATGTTAAATTGTCGAAGCAATGTCAAAAAAGAGCGAATTTCGCGCGAGTAGTGAGAATTAAGCTGGCGACCGACGGTTCGATATTTGGACGAGAATAGAGTGATTTGAAAGACGCGTCACGTTTTGGCAAATATCGTTACACGAGAGAAAAGAAAAATATAACGTAGAGGGACGGAGAAAGACAGCCAATGACAGCTCGTAATGGGGTAGTATACAAGTGATTTTTAACTACTGCGTAGTGATATACTCGACGTATCGTACTATTTAGTGTAATCAGTTGCTTTGTAAAAACCGCGATACACTGGAACACTGTTTTTTAAATTTCCTCTTAGCCCCGCCCCTATGTGGAAATAAAAGTTTGTGACGTAGTTAGTTTTTCCAATCTGGCAACAGATCATGGTTTGAGAATGCACAATTTGCACTGACATTGACCGTCAAGAACGGAACGTCAAATTTACTACATCAAACAACGTAAACAAATTACTGTTACAATGTCACACGATTCACACGACACCACACGTCGTTGAACTGTTGAAGTCAGCTGTCGTTTAGAGACATTTTGAGCAGCGTTGCCAGATGATTAGCGGCTCGAATACTATTGGTCGCCGCTGTGGCGCTAAATTCAAATTACAGTTTGTTTTTCTCTGATTCTATAGACACTCTGCTGGAAAATAATTTAGTATCCCACTATACCATCACCATTAAGCCTATAGAATAATGTCGAGTAGTTTTTTTACTGATTTTCATACATAGTATACTACCCCATGCGCCGATATACTTGTGACGTCACTAAAGATGCGCGTTTCTCTTCGTCTTTACCCCGACTCATACGCTAAGTTTAGATGTTGTATGAGAGAAGTCTCTATAGTTTTTGAAACTTCTGCCCTATATTTGGTTCTATATCCGTGAAGAGCACAATTTAACGATTCCAGAGATACATAGTTTGTCTATATTTGGTTAAGCCGTATCTAACATAGTTGGTTCTTGAAATTGTAAAAATACTATTCCACTGACTTGGATTTTGTGAACCATTTTACCTGTAGAGGTGAAAGTTGCAGGTAAAATTTGACGCACTATGGGTTCCTCTGATAGTATTTTTATAATTTTTAGAGCCAAATATGTTGGAGACCGCTCAACCTCAACCAAATATAGACAAACTATATATTTTTGGAATCGGAAAATTGTGCTCTTTAAGAATTCCATTCCATTCCATTTGAAAAAAGTTGAAATTACGCAAAATTTAAAATTTCTGACAATTTTTTTTTTTTTTTTGACGATGGATTCTAAAAATTTAGGTAAAACTGCAAAACTCTTGTATTTACACCTATCATTTATCTGTGAAGGTAAAGGCTGCAGGTGGGGGTCAAAATATAGTGAATAACCCTGTATCTACAAAAGTATCTATCACAATAGATTGCGCCTTGCAATAGGTTTGAAGTAGTTCTTCACTTTAATTTTTATACTCTTGTTAATGAAAATCCTTGAGATTATCTCTAAGACCGCGTCGTTGTTCTTCAGATGTTAGGAATAGACAATATCCAAGATTATACAGTTGACTGTTTTGACGGACATAGGTATAGTATTTTTATTGTTTCCCTGTACAAAATATAAGCTGCGAGGAAATATCGCTACAGTAGTCCAAAATAATAATTTAGGTCGGCACGCGCCTATAGGTTGAATTATTGGGGTGGGCTACTTACGTCTCCCCAGGAAGGATGCAGGTACCTGGCTGACTAGACTAGGGAACTTCTATAACCAGTGTCCTCCCAATTTCTATATTTTTTGCTGTTTTATTCTAGGTATTATTCAGTTGTGTTGTTCGATATTGATTATTACCATTTAACGAAATAAAAAATATGTGAGGCTCATGCAGTGGCGACGCCAGGGGGGGGCAATTGAAATTTAGCTGCCCTCCCCCTGAAAACTTGCCATCGTGTCGACAACAATGCAATGCAACATGAGTAACTTCTGCTCTCTGTATAATTTGATATTTGGTGGGCACCAGGCAACCGCGACTATGCTTTCGCTTTTCTGGGATTCCCCAAACATATTTGTGTCGGCAGGTACAGGGTTTTCCTGTGTTTTTTTGGCACCTCACCTGAAGTCCGGTTTCTCAATAGCAAGCAAGTCACCCCCAGGTCAGAGCAGTTAACCATAACTCCAGGGTAAACATTGAAATTGGACACGTTTACCCTGAACTAGCTGTTGAGAAACCGACCCTGAACGTTCAACTGAATAGGTATCAAGAAGATTTACCTATACAGGGTGTCCGTTTTTCGAGAGCAATCATTGGAATATAGGAAACGGTAAGAGATACAGGTTCGGTTAAATTGGGACAAAGTTGCGCAATTTCTTGCTTAACAAAACGCTACTTCGAAATTTGGAAAATTCCGAATACTTCCGGAGATACACGAAAATCAAAATTTTGTAAAATCATTTCTATTTTTTCCTGGACTTATTTGTGAAGGTATTTCAAATAAACTTCACTTTATTGGGGCAACTTTCTCCCCTTTACACAATGGTGTAACCATTTGAAATCCGACGTTTCGTCTTTTGCCGATCATCATCAACTTTATTTTTTTAAATAGAAGGTTGTATTTTTATTAATTATTATTTCTTGATCTCACAAAAGCAGTAACACATTTGGCCATTGATTGCGATTTTGTATCTCTTACCGTTTCCTATATTCCAATCGTTGTCCTCGAAAAACGGACACCCTGTATACAAAATCCAAATAAAAACCTTTTTGATACCTATTCATTTAACCTGTTCAGGTGGAGTGCAAAAATATACGGGAGAACTTTGCAATTCCCATTTTTTATTTCAAAGAAGAAAAGCAATAAAGTAAGAACAAGTGCCCCCCCTAATTTTTTCTGGGCCAGCCTGGCCCCCCCTAACATAAAACCCTGGCGTCGCCACTGGGCTCATGTCTTATATTTGTTTGATGTATGCCGACTAGATGTTTGTTTGGTGTTTCACTTGGAATTATAAATACTATACTATCCCATTAACAATTATTACCTCTGAGCTTGACAACAATTTCAACATAGTTGAACTCAACTTGACTGACTCATCTGCGGCTATCCAGGAGGAAACTGATAATGATGTTGTGATGGCAGACAAAGAACCAGAGGAGTTTAACTTTTTTTGAAATCATATGGACAGGGTAAATGTGAAAGTGAAAATGAAAGTTTCATTGAAGACTCTATAATGTAGAACCATAAGACAACAAACAACAAGAAAAGCGAAGTTTCTAAAATTGAATGTATGCCAGTTTAGATGGCCTAAAAAAAGATGAAATTGATGATCTCATCCATTTGATTTAGATCGTAAAGATTTAAATAATATGAAAGAAAAATATGAAAGTTTGAAAAAATAGGGAATACCTATGTACTGCAATAACTTGCAATAGTTCACAGTAATCACAATGGTTTGCAATATCTAGAAACGTTTGGCAATAGGTTGCAACAGTCCACAATACTCTGCAATACCTGAGTATTGCACAATATATGTACAGAAAAACTCCAGTGAAATCCCCCTTGGGTTTAGGCTCTTACTTGTTAATTTGACTGTCTATTGATTGGGCAATAATTGCTTGTTGATAAATAAATTAATAAATCATCTGTACTGAAATGGTCTACAAGAAATTAATAATATAATATTCACAACCAAATTCAATGGTCCAATCTGTTCAACCTCTTATATGTTGTAGGTACCTTTCTGAAAAGTAAGTACTTGCTCCAAAATCTCCGAACTAAGGATTAGGCAAAGCCACGTATTAAAACGACTAAGGGTGGGTATTATAAAACTGCTTTGACAGTTAACTTGAAGTTAACTTTCTGAATTACATGTAATTCTAGAAGTTAACTTTAAGTTAACTCTCAATAAAGTATTTTTATAATACCCGCCCTTAGACTGGCTATAAAATTTATCTATAATGAATAATAAAAAGGCCTCAGTATATTACATAAATACTAATACTTAGGTATACTTTAGCTTTGTTCCAACACAGCAGAAAACCGTACAATCTACCCATTTACTGTCACAATTCTGGGCAAAACCTAAAAATTGGAGTGGTTTCAAAACCGTTCATGGGACGGTTTTTCATGTGTTGGAACAGAACTTTTATTTTATCAAAAATTTGTCATAAAAAACCTTTTAAATCCATATACCTATTACTAGTTATTCATCATCATCTTCATTATTGCCAAATTCGAACTCGTATAATAACTTTTGTATTTGTATGCGTGCCAATAAATTTTGCCTTGGTGGTAAACGTTTCAAACTAGAAGTACAACTTAAAAGGAAATGTATATCAGGATCTCCAGATTTCTGAGTTGCCTCCTGTGTAGTAGTTTCCACTTGTAAGCATTGTATTTTGCTTACCGGTTCCTCCTCCATACTATCTTCTTCGTCCATTTTCAAAAAAATCGGATTGTCATTTTCAACTGACACATAATTATCGTCTAAGCTTTCATATTTGTATTCCATTTTATCATCGCCGTCTCCACATTCTTGTTCTTCTTCTTCTTGATCATTTGGTTCGTCTTTCGCATTTATATCATTTATCGTTATTTTGTGTTCGATGTGACCGATTAAAAATGCCATACTATTGAAGTGTCGCCATTTTTTGCATTTGCCTTTAGCTCGCTTTCTAACGCGGAGGTATTTTATGAATGCGTCCCGTAAGCTTCGCCATCTCTTTTTGAGAAAAACAACATCTGAAATAATAAATATATAATGTTAAATTGAGAAATAATCGATAAAGCTGAGAATAATATATTTAAATTTATAAGTTGAGTTTAAAAATAATGGTACACTGTACCTAGTAATGTGCTATTAATTAATATTACTACTACTACTATAACTGAATTTAAAAATTGCTGTTTTGAATATACATGTTCCGTTTTAGTTCCAACAATAATTTGGCCGTAAACCTAAAGAACGTGAATGATGAAAAAAAAAAAAAAAACATTGATCAGAGTTTGACTCTGACTGAAACGAAATGACCTTAAGTTGGTAAAAAATAATATGAAATCAAAAGAAACACAAAGTCTTCCTCCACACAATTTTTTTTAACTGAAAATTAAAGAGCCCCTACACGTTTCGAATGTTTCGAAACTATAGAGTTTCATCATCAGGGGCAAGTTTGCTCAATATTACTTTACAGTTTTTGTCTTGTCTTTAGAGTTGTCGAGCCACATCATATTAGTTAGGAATTTACAAAATGGCAGTCAACTTATGAACTTATTTGACTGCCATTTTGTAAATTCCTAACTAATATGATGTGGCCCTGTGTGGGGGAGTGCTGAAAAAAGAGTTGTCAACATTTTTTTATTTTTTCAAATTGAAAAAATAGTCCATTTTCTTACAGTGGAGCTTTGTAAATTACAAAAAGAAAACAGTCTTCTCCACTAAATTTTATTTGTTTCTTTGTTGGAACACTACTAGGACATGTTTCGGGATTATAAGAATCCCATCATCAGCTGAAACAATTACAAAGGAGAACCTAGAGTTTGACGTTTGTGACTTAATATACATAAAAAATATCGCTGAACATTGTATAAATAGATATAAACTTAAAAGCTTACCCAGAAATTATTCCGAAACACACTGTACACCCTTCAAGGGTTAAAACTACCTAATTATGTAAGGAGAAAATTGGAAGGTATGGAGTGTAGTGAATCCCCAATTTTAACAAGTTTCAAAACAGGAGAAGAAATTAATTATTTATTTTTAATTTTTAATTAAGTATTTAGTTGCCCTTTAAGGGCTTTTACGTCTTTTCTTCCTCCACGCCTTAAAAAAACTGAATATCCAAACCTGAGAAATTATTATCAGCTGAGCTGTCAGCATGAAACAACAACCGCAGGAACCCAGGGAAGTAGCGACAGTGTGCATCTGATATTAACAAATTATTATGAACTTATTATTTGTAATATAATTATGAGATCCAATTATTACTATTAGGAAGTAGTTTTAGTATTTCAAAAGTTACCTTCTACTTCAGATACGTTGTTGACAGTCTTTTATGCTTCCAAGGGTCCTTAGATGAACTTAACTCTTTTTTTACATACCTAAATACCTTACACCCGTCCATTGAATTTACAATGGAAATTGAATCAGATAACAAAATAAACTTTTTAGACCTTACAATTTCTAAAAAGAAAAATTCATTAGAGTTCTCTATTTTCCACAAAGAATCAAGTACAGATAGTGTCATCCCTTATAACACTATAATCACCCTCAAAACCAAAAATTAAATGCTTTCCACTCTTTCTTCCATAGACTGTTTTCCATACCATTGAATCAACATAACTTCAGAAAAGAATACTTACATATTAAACAAATAGCGGTTAACAATGGTTACCCCCTCGGTTACCCCCTATACATATTCAACCAAACATTTTATAAACACTTCAGAAAACACATAAATAAAAAACTACTTCCACAATCAAAAGATAAAACAGAAAATATTTACAGTAACCTACCTTTTTATGGCAACATATCTTACAAAATTAAAAATATTCTCCAGAAAAGCCAAGAAAACTTGACAGTATCCTTTAAAACTCAACACAATTTAAGAACGTCACTTTTTAATGGTAAAGGTAAAATATCTGATAATCTTGATAAATCAGGTGTCTATCACCTCTCCTGCAACCAAAGGGATTGTAGGGCGGTTTATGTAGGAAGGAGTGGCCGCACACTGGGTACTAGAATAAAGGAACACCAAGCAATAATTATTAGAAACAAAAATAGATCCTCTAGTATTCCACTTGACTTATCCTCAACTCAACATTTGCAAACCATATTATTAATGAAAAACATGAGTTCAAGCCAGAAACGGGTGTCAAACTTACTAAATTTTGTAACTTCGGAAATAAGTTGAATTTGCTGGAGATATCAGAAATTAATAAAGCCTTGAAAGATCCTGAGATTAATTGCATAAACGATCAAATTCAATTTGATTGTCTCTCTTTTTTTGATTCATTAACTTTTTAATCACCTAATTCCAAACTCCATCTCATCTATGTCATAATTTCAATTCAACTAATTAGAATAGTACCTAAAGTACCCGTCTTCAAAGGAAATACCAGACCTTGAGTATTCACGGCTAGATGGAGCTAATATATTGTTAATAACAAATTGATTCTACCAGTGGAGGGTCAACAATGATAATAATAATAATTAATATTAAAAATGTCATAAAATATAAACTAATCATGTTTCACAGTCTTCTTCTTTGTTGTTCACTGTCCAGATTTTTGCCTGGCCTATTCCTACTTCCTAATAGTAATAATTGGACCTCATAATTATATTACAAATAATAAGTTTATAATAATTTGTTAATATCAGATGCACACTGTAGCTACTTCCCTGGGTTCCTGGTTGTTGTTTCATGCTGACAGTTCCGCTGATAATAATTTCTCAGGTTTGGATATTCAGATAATTGGCGACCCTTTAATTTTTGTCCATCCTAAAACGATATAAGGAATGTGTTTTTTCAAGGTGTGGAGGAAGAAAAGATGTAAAAGCCCTTAAAGGACCACTAAATAATTAAAAATAAATAATAAATTTCTTCTCCTGCTTTGAAACTTGTTAAAATTGGGGATTCACTACACTCCATACCTTCCGATTTTCTCCTTACATAAATGGGTAGTTTTAACCCTTGAAGGGTGTACAGCGTGTTTCGGAATAATATCTGGGTAAGCTTTTAAGTTTATATCTATTTATACAATGTTCAGGGATATTTTTTATGTATATTAAGGCCGAGTTCGTTTTTGTCATCTTTTTCGTCGATTTCCTCCGAAATTTTGACAGACACGTGATTTGTAACTTGAAATTGTCTTATTCAGTCACGTGCATGTCAAAACTTCAGAGCAAATCGACGAAAAAGATGACAAAAACGAACTCGGCCTAAGTCACAAACGTCAAACTCTAGGTTCTCCTTTGTAATTGTTTCAGCTGATGATGGGATTCTTATAATCCCGAAACATGTCCTATTAGTGTTCCAACAAAGAAACAAATAAAACTTAGTGGAGAAGACTGAAGTTTTCTTTTTGTAATTTACAAAGCTCCACTGTAAGAAAATGGACTATTTTTTTAATTTTTCAATAAAATATTCAAAATTGTATCAAACATTGGCAACGATAAACCATAAATCATCTGTATTCATTTACTTTCCTATACTCCAATATGTATTTTCACCTCTTTGACTTTGATTAACCTAGCTTCATCATTTATATTTTTAATATTTACAGATAGTTGATAAAGGGTGTTTCTCATCGAAACAGAGGCTTTTTCGGGTATTTTGAGGTCGATTAAAAAAAAACTGCCAGACACTTCGTTTTAGAATTCAAGGAGGAAAACCTCGGGGGAAACTTTTTGTCCCCATCGGCATTTCGCTAGGATGGACCCCCTGTGCGGGGTGATTCTTACCCCTATTTTTAGGTTAGGGATTTTGATTCTCGTCACAACTGAGTATTTGAAAATCTAATGATTAGTTCTCAAGATATTCATTGTCAAAGTTGCCATGGGCTAAATAAGAAAAAAAAGCTGGCCCTTTTATTCTCAAATGGACACTTTCCTTTCGGACACATCAATTTTCATTTTTTTTAGAAGCACACAAAAAATAAAAACTGACCTTTCCGAGAGGAAAGTCAGGAAAGTGTTAATTTGAGAATAACAGGGCCAGAAAATGGTTTCTTATTTTTAGGCCATGGCAACTTTGACAGTGAATATCTTGAGAACCAATCATTCGATTTTCAAAAAGTACACAGTTGTGACAAGAATCGAAATACCTTTAAAACAAGGTAGAGGTACCACTCAACCCATCTTCTCTATCTAAAAAAAAGGGGTGAAAGTCACCAGACCCAGGGGGTGCACCCTAGCAAAACGCCGATGGGGTCATGAAGTTTCCCCCTTGAATACAAAATTGATGTGTCCGAGCGTTTTTTTTTTTAATTGACCTCAAAATACCCCAGAACGCCTCTGTTTTGATATTCGTGAAACAAAGCAGAGATATCATAATTCTGGGAGCACATTGTCAAGCTCTTTTTTTGAGAAAATCACAATGGCGAAGAGAAATCATGGCTAACTTGATGCGTTTAGGAAATACGGGGTAATTTTCACATTTTGTCCAATTTTGAAAGGCCTTCTTCTAATTCCTTTATTAATTAAGATTAAGATATCCAAAAACAAAAAATACGTTCTATAGGCAGTTTTGCAAGTAGAATCCAGTGGCATGTCCAATTTTTATCCAGATACCTCTAATTTTGGAATATTACCCAAAGTTGTGGTTTTTTTAAATGGGACACCCCATATATTTTTTTACAGTATTTTTGGTTTTTGGATATCTTGATTAATAAAGAAATTAGAAGGTCTTTTGAAATTGGACAAAGTTTGAAAATTGCTCTGTATTTCCTAAATGCATTGTTATTTTCTCACCCATTAAAACATCGAAAATGGGTCACCCTGTACATTATGTGTCGGATATTCAAGGTCTTTGGGTCTTTAAATTGGCTCGGTTAATCCAGAGCTCGGATAAGTATGTACGACTCAGATACTCGGAGTTCTACTGTACTTAAGATGTCAAAAAATCAGAAATGCCTTTGCTGGTTTCTTAAATTAACAGGGGCACGATTCTCGTCTCAGGGAGAGCAGAGCTCCCCGAGAGAACAAATTTTTCGTCTTTATCATTCTTGTTCACTTTCCGATTACG